TCCCGAACCCCTCAATACATAGTCTACCACTACACGACCCCTCCCCCTATAATTATATTAAACAATAATAGGTACTCGATAATTATGAAAGATCTAAATGCACTAATTCGGATTGTTATGATGTATTTTAATTTTAACATACATTGATAAAAATGATTGTTAAAAATACACAGGAATCACCATAATCTCAAATTCGATTAAAGTGAACTTTGACTTTTTTGTTTCTCAAGAGAAAAACATATTAAGATAAAAATGTCGCTATAGGTTCTAACTTCTAGTACTGTTATGCAAAATATATTATAATATGGTCTGTTGATATATATGAAGTTGAAAGTAATAATGATTACTGATAATTAACGTGATTGATGAGGGTTATAAAAGGGCATATTATTTTTCTGCCGTTGTAATTTTGAGATTAGTATTTCTGTATCAGCATTTTTTCTTATCTTATTAACAAAACTATTGAATGTTTTTCGTTTATGTATTATATATCTAATAGTTATAAATTAGTAAATTTCTTTAATAAAAGCATACAAAGTCATATAATTGAAACCGAAAAAAAAAAACTAAATTTTCTAGTATTAACAATAGTTTTTCGATTTTTTCTTAATTCAGAAAACAAAATAATGTATACATAAATAAACAAAAAGTTTATTTATTTCTATAAATAAATGTTTTGCCTAGAGTATTATTATATTTGTATAGTACAACCGGTTTCAAATTAAAAATACTCTGGGCTAAACATTTATTAATTAATTAATTAATTTATTTTATAATAATATTAAAAAATAATCATTATTACATATATATATATATACCTAACACAATAATGTGTATTTAATTTAAATTTAAAATATCGAGATCAACCCCAACGGCACAGCTGCTGGAGCTACAGCTATACGAGCCACATACGGTTACATACGGCTCATACTCAGGGATAGTGAGAGGGTAAGGCAGGGATGGATAGAGCCCCGGGGCCCGTACGTCTGACAGGGCCCATCGTTTCAGCCTCGTATACATTGTTTTTATTGTACCAAATCATGTACAAGTGGTCTTGGTACGTCTTGGTCAAACAATTGCAAAGGGAAGGGGGTCTGGAACCCCCGCAGCCCCGGGTGCCTCAGAAGTTTTTGCCGACCCTGCTCATACTCGACGGTTTTATGATCACCTACCACACTATAGTATCATAAGTGGTGACTATCACCTAACTTCCAAGAACAGTAAAGGTAGAAGCTGTCCAGCTATGTGTCCATATACATATATATAGCTATTCATGTCCAGTATTTCTATAATTTTAAACTATCCTGTGTGCGCCAAAACCCCCATTATAATTATGCACATCATTATTTACTATACTAAATATCCATAATTTATGAAATTATTATTGACCGATTTACAAAATAAAAATAACAAAAAAGGGACTTTTATTTTGTTAAATGAAATAAATTTTTAAATTAAACAAACTGTTTTTTTATGTCTACTATTTTTAAGGTTATTTGATTTGAAAAGTATTTCCCTCCTCCCCCCACTCCATTAGTATTTGTCAAGGATCGTCATTGATCACAAAGATATTCGTCTGAAAGAAAAAATGTAGAAACACATTTAAAAAAAAAAATGGTAGAAAAGATACTTACAAAATATATTAACACTAATTAATAAACTAAAAATGTATTTAAATAAAATATCAAGATAGTATCAATAAGTTTTATACAAGTATAAAAAAAATCTGTCATAACATGCTATAAATAAAGCAAAGCTGTACATTTTAAAATTGGTCAGTCAATTGGAAGAAAAATATTTCAACATACAACAATTACTTAAAATAATTCAGCCCCAATTTTCTGATTATAATTTCAAACCTCAAAAGAGTCGTGTGGCGCCAAGTTCTTTATCAGCAACTTCATCGTTATCGCATGAATGAAGATATTTGTAAAATAAATTTAAAAAACTACGTGTATTATAGATCAATGTTGCAAGCACTATGATAGAATTTTAGTGAATGTAATTTTATCGAAAAAATAAAAACGACTGCATCAAGTCTCGATTCGAGACGCAGAGAAGACATGTGAACATTGCATATAAACGCAAAAAAATTCTACATTTGGACGCAATAGTTGTTTAAAATAATGATTGTGTGTATTATTATTTGTTTTTATATTTTCCATCCACTTCTATATTTTCTATAATATTTGTTTTTATATATTATGTGTACTTGTTTAACTATACTTGTAAGTCTGTACTATGGTTTTTATATAGTAATTTATAGTATTTATACGTTGTGTAGCCACATACCCATATAGGTTAAAGTCATAAAATTATAATATGGATAATAAGTGGTTTTATAAAATGCATAACTAAGTTCAGCGGAATTACATCAATGAAAAATTGTATTTATAGTGTTTATTGATTATTCGACTTGAAATTGCAGTTAGTATACAATTAAACATTGCATAGGTACTTAGGTACTTAATAAACTATTGTATTTTGAGCTAGAAATTTTAGAAATTTTTTAATTAACCCATCCCCGCCCAATAATCATCTATGCTTTGTTATACTTTATGATAAATATTAATGATAACGAAAATGTTTAATATGTACTAAAAAAAAATTAAAGTTATAAAATGCTTGACTTATGATGTTTGGTACGTAATAGTAAAAATTTTAAAAATTGTTTTATATTTGTATGATGCATAAAAAAACAGTAGCATGAGTATAAAATATAATATACTTATAGATAATCGTGTCCACATGAAGTGTAACACCAATAAATTGATCAATTACATTTCCTCGTATTTTATTTAATTATGCCAAAGGCTATTGGAAGAGTTTCCTACGTGTTATTTATTTTTCCAACGTCGATAAAATGATATTATCTAGAGATATTAAACTTTAACTACTTGTTTTTTTTTCAGTTCGAATATGATTTACGATTGTCGTATTTATAATTGCTTTACGGCAAATATACAAGTGTTTAAACATGATTATTGTACTACTCGAATTATTTTCATAAATCTAAAACGGAGAGATCGCATTTTATCGACATTGAATAACTACTAAGTCTAAAACAACAACGGCAATAGTCGTACATGGCTTATTGTAGTGAAAAATCTCACGAGGACATGATATTTTACCATTTAGAGCGTTTCGTAAATCATATAATGACAATTATTAATAATTAGGGTTCAGAATTTAAAGCATTTGCATATTCTTGTTATTTATTGTAAAATATAGCAGAGTCCAAAATAAATTAATTTCTCAATGCCATGATATACAAATCTAAAATTTGAATGTGCATATTTTTGCATATTTCATAGATTTTGTAGGAAAGTGCTTATTTTACGTTTTTGTGATTATTTTGCATATTTTGAAAAATAATTCAAATTTAAAAATTAATAACTTTATAAATTTCAACCGATCAAAAAAGAAAATAGTAATACAATCTTAAATACCTATTTCAGAGGCGGATCTAGTGTCTTATTTTGGGATGTTCCTTTTGAAAAAAACAACCAACTAAAATATACAAAATGTAAATTTTAAATGTATTGAATGAAAATTACTACTTTTAAAGGTGATGATTTAAATGTATTCTAAAATCATGCATCTTAATTACAGTGTTTGTCATAATCATTATAATTTCTGATTCAAAATATTCTTTAAAATAAATTTCCTTTTTGCTGAACCATTAAAAAAACGCAATAACTTTTTTTGATATGCTGATAGTATTATTGACAGAAACTACTTTAGATAAATAAGAAAGATAAATATTTAATACATGATTGACACTTGGACATCGTACAGCCATTGGACATTCTTTTAAAATAATTGTTAAGGCACCAATATTTTTGAAGTCATTACACTCAATCAGTTCCTACGACTACACAATATTTCAAATAGAGTTCAAGGTTTTTTAAAATATCTAATACAATATGACCAATAGTATGTTCAAAGTGCAGCCCAATTGTACTATTATAAAAGTACCAAACACGCATCTTGACCCTTCCCCAAAATAAAATTATGCTCCTGTATAGTAAAACAATATATCAAATATATTTCAGTTTGGGATGGCACAGACCTCTAGCTTCCACATGGATCTGCCACCGACCTATTTGGTATATATATCTCACAACCACTTATAGTTTTCGTGTTGGAAAAATATCGTCATTTTTAGAAAATAGTATGGCCGTATTGCAAAATATTATATAAATAATTAACATATATGCATATTTTTAAATTTTTTAATAATAATTTACGGGTTTTAAGTGCTATAAGTCCCTAACTCTGCTGATAATCAATGTATAATGTGTGTATAATGAATATTTAATATAAGTGAGTTATTGTTCATAAGTTTCTCAGACATATCAGTTACGGTCGATAACTAACGAAACGTAATAGTCAATGAATATTGAATAAAACAAAATTTTTTAAAACTAATGTTTTTAAAATATATAGATAACTAACAGGTAAATTTTACCCGTAGCCAAAGGTTTTGATCAAATAGCTGAGAAGCATAAACCGAAACATAAAATTTAAAATGAAACACTTATTAAGCGTTGTGAAAGTCAAGTGCGTTTCCCTTGGTTTTAATTTATGCGCCTGTTAAAGGTCTCTTAAGCGGTGTCACCACAGAATAGATCAAACCACGGTCCAGAACATACTTTAACGCGTGACGGTCAAAAGTTCAATCGTATAACCAAGAAAATTAAAATCTTCATTTCATCTGTGCCGCAGTACGATGACGCGTGTTCAGCATAACCACAATTGAAGGCCGTGCAAAACGGTTTGCGTTTTGTGTAGAGCATCGTTTCGTACTCCTGCCAATCATGGCGAATAACAACACTGTGTATCAAACTCGAACAACTCGATCCAAGATTGATAATAATAACACACGAATTACAATAATAATAATAATAATAATGATGATGATGATGGCAAGGAAAATGATTACACGGAATACGCGCGCCATGGTGATACCCCGGTAATAAGCCGGGGACGCCGCCGAGTGAAAAACGTGGATAACCTTGGCATGACGTCGACGAACATGTGGTATCGGCTGATAAGTGATGATAACACAAACATTTCCGTATCCGGACTCCCGGAGGAGATAATGGCACTACCCATTTCGAAAAGTAACATTTGCACAAATTTCACACTGACACTACAGCGTTTCATAAGATTTTGTGCCAGCTTCTTCGTCACCACTGACGGTTAAACCTACCTAAGTGTATTATATACGTGCCGCCGTCATTGCAGTCAACGGTCGTCGTTTGTGGGAACCGTTGAGCGTCCAATGTCAATTCATACCGTTTAATCGAAGTGTACGTTTTTTTGAAACCTTATTCCCGTCCGCCTCGTAAGTTATTTGTTTTTATTTTCTATTCTTGTAGTATGAATTATTCTCCCGTTCGTTTGTTTTGTTTGAATATTTTGGGTAACCAGTTTTTTCCCTCCACTCATTATTTCAAAAACGTTTGATGATTAATCGATTATTGTTTCATGAAAAACGAACGAGTTCATTATTTTAATAGCCACTGTGTATGCTACCTCAGGTGTTTATTTGTATATTGTTTTTTTAATATGTGATTTTTTTTTAAAATCATTAATTTATTTTTCGTTACAAAAAAATATTAGTTGACCTTTCATTTGAATAAAAATGGTACAAAAATAATGAACTTGTTTCGGTATTTTATTTATTATATTACACTGCAGAGGAAAAATTCTCGAAGACACATCCCAAAGAATTTTTATATACATCATCTAAAAATAAATATACTTTCCATATGGACCAGCCATTTGTATTGATATTATAAATTAATACATGTATAATTTCTATTACTTAAATTTACTCATAAATACACTACATTTTATAAATTAGTGTAGGCATACAAATATTAATGTTTTTCTTTTATGTACCCAAACAACTATATACAGTACAATTTAGTTTTATTTATATCTTGGCAGATAGATTCTGAGGATGTATAATATTTGTTTAACATTTATAATATTTATATTATGAACTTATTTTATAACATAAATATTAATATGTTAGTAAATAAATTTTTAAATAATGAACAAAAATATTTCTATCAGTTATAATTTATAACTTGGGCAGAGGACTTGTAGCTCTAAAAAAGCTCTAAATATGCAAGCACTTATGCACCTAAAAATTTTTTTAGCCTTTTTATTAAAAGTAATAATAAAATAAATAGCATTAAAAATAAGGCAAAACAATTACATAATTTAAATATATTATTTACCATAGCCAAATAAATAAAATACATTTTACTTAATTTTCTTAATTTTCTCTAAAAAAACGATGTTAGATTGTTATCAGTTCTAGGAAAAATGTGTGCCCGTGTACAGTCAAAAACCATATTATACGACAAAAATTAAAAATAAATACATTTTTATCCAAACATTTTGACTGTATTGTTTGAAGTAAAAATGTCACTTTGGAAAAAATCAATTTAAGTTAAATATGTCTTAAAAAGTATAAAATTGCGTATAAAAGTGTAAAATACAAAAAAACATAAAGGACTCAAAATATGCATTTATATGCAAAATAAAATTTCAAAACTAGCTTGTGAAAGCATGAAACATATTTGTTTTGTACTCTGCTATTTTTGTGACTGTGCAAAACAAATATGCAAATGCTTCAATTCCTCTGCCCTATTTATAACCAATATCATAATTAATTGTATTTTCTAAATGGATATAAAATATATTCCATATATGAATTACTAATTATAATAAGTATGGTTTTATCATTCCTTAAATTTGGTTTTAAGTAATTTGTCATTGAAAGTTGGATTACAATAGTTTCTTAATTATCTGGGTGCGGCAAAACCAATTTTCAGTCCAATAATCATCAATAATACATGATGATATATTGATATGTTAATTATCTATTCTGTTAGTTATCATTAATTTAATACACTCTACTACATATTAATATTTTTATTAAATTTTCTATTAGTATCGTTCAATTTATTGTATTATATATTTATCAACGTATGTTTGTAATACACATACAACAGATAACATTTCTAAATATATTCATAGTTTTCAAATTTTGGATTTGGTTTTCCAATTTATCCTCTTGATCTTTATTAATTTAACTATTGGTAATCTAAATTGAATCAACAAATTCTAATTGAAGTATAATTTTATATTAGTAAAAATTTATTTTTATTAAATATTAAATTATTTAATTTGTTAACCAAATGTTATCCAATTAAATATAGTCATGTTATAATGTGATTAAGATTGGTTGAAAATCTATGAAATCATGAATATATTAAGTCACATTATTTTTTATATAATTATTATTTCATTTTCAATTACTTAATAAAAATTTGTTTTTGTTTTATTGCAGTTCAAAATACAAATATGTCTAAAAAGAGAACACGAGATGTATCAAATAATACAGATGAAACAGATTTGTCTGGGAGCAGTAATAAAAATATGTTACAAAAATGTGAACAAAATAAATTACAAAATATTGCACCAGTATGTATATAATTTAAAAATTAAGTATTTAATAATCTTATATAAACCTAGTGTTACTACAAAGATGAGGTTTTTATGAAACATCTTCCTGTTAGATTTCAATACATAAATAATAATTATATCATAACCAATTAATAATTTAATATTGAAATAATAACAAGTACTATAATTTTTTCATTAATTAATAGAACTTTTTTAAATATTGCTCACAATCTCATTAATTTTAAGAACAATTTGTACAAATGTTATTTTATAAATTTAAAGTACGGATATTTTATCGACCACTCATACATAAACCTTCTATCTTTATGTTACCCTCAATCCTATTTAACCATATATTCCTCAATATTTTTCTTCCTTTTGTTCTTTGTTCAAATCTCTTGTTCGCTGCGAAAATTCCAACATATTGACAGCCTAACTTCCTTCTACAATTTACTTTTTAACCTTTTTGAAATCCTTTAACAGTATTTTTTTTCATTTCACTAATTTTATTGTATGTAGTTGAAATATGCATATTTTAAATAAATTTATAAAATTAAATTTTACAATACCTACATATACTAAATGTTTACAGTCTTTTTTTCATAACTCCAGCGAAAATGTTTATAAATATCATGGTATAAATATAGTACCTTGGGTACTACAATGGACAATTTAATATTAAAAAAATAAAAACTTTTAAAGTAGATGTTAAGTGTTTTTTATTATATTCCCTAAATATTTTAATAGATTTGGTACATTTTATTTTTATGCAAATTATTAGAATATTTTTGTATATAAAATTAACTAAATAATTAATAAACTAATTAATCACCTTCTTGTTTTAGTCAATTTTTAAACCGGCGCCTTTTAGTACAGAAATAGATGCAGTTGTTGAAAGAAATGCATGTGAATATAGTACAAGAATCACTATGGAAATGGCCAATTCTTGCTTGGGTATGAATTATTTTATAATATAATGATAAAATAAACTACATTAATCATTTTATTTGATGTTTCATTCTAGTCAAATTTCTCTGATTATTTATTAATAGTTGAAAATTATAACAGATATTTTTAAAATTTCTTGTTCAGTCTAAAATCAAGAAGTACAAAAATGTAGCTTATAGTATTTAGTATTGCAATTTTCTAAAATAGTTTAAACTATTTAATGTAGTAAATTTAATATTTATGCTCCAGAAATATCGGTTATAGAAAAAATATAACTGTAATTATAGAAAAATACATTTCTAGTTTTGTCCAGAACTTAGAGAAGTTAGAAGTTATAGAGCTTAATTTACTTAATTATTATAAAATAATGTTTAGCTTTTAATAATATAAAATAAATTTAATTTTTATTTTAGAACACGCTTGTTATTTGCAGCTCCTCGGAAAATCAGGGTTTATGCAGATGGCGTTTATGACATGTTTCATCAAGGACATGCTAGACAGTTAATGCAAGCTAAAACAGTGTTCCAAAATGTTTACTTGATTGTTGGAGGTTAGTTTATTTTTATTAAGTAATGGTGACATTGTATTATTGAAAATAATGTAATACTATTATCATATTTTTATCATGTTATAACAAATATTCTAACTATTTATTAACTAATTATTTATGAATTTATAGTATGTAGTGATAGTATGACACATGCTATGAAAGGTAAGACTGTAATGACTGATGATGAAAGATATGAAGCTGTGAGACATTGCCGCTATGTAGATGAAGTTCTTAAAGACGCACCATGGGAAATTGATGATCAATTTTTAATAGACAATAAAGTAATTTAAAGTTTTTTCTGTTTTATTTTAAACTGGATAGTGAGTTTTAAATTCTGTATAGATTGATTTTGTTGCTCATGATGATATTCCTTACATTAATGAATCCGGTGAAGATGTTTATAAAGGGCTTAAAGAAAAAGGTATGTTTGTAGGCACCCAAAGGACTGAGGGTGTATCAACATCAGATGTTATTTCTCGAATTGTACGAGACTACGATATGTACGTCAGACGTAATCTACAACGTGGATACAGTGCCAAAGATTTAAATGTATCATATTTAAAGGTTAGATAATTTAATAGATGATAGATAACCTATCAAATTCCTTTTGTTTATTCGAAGAAAAAAAAAATTGTAATATATTTTTAGGAAAAAAAATTCAAGCTTCAAAACAAAATGGAAGAACTTAAAGACCGAAGTAAACGAGTAATGGGCACTATTGGTGAAAAAAGAGTAGACATGTTGCAACGATGGGAAGAAAAATCTAGAGACTTTATTGTTTCATTTTTATTATTGTTTGGTCGAGATGGACCAATTGTAAGTTTATATTTGAAGAATGATAAAATCATGAATATTAAGATATGTTTTTTTTAAGTCTCATTTTTGGAACGACAGTAAAGGTAAACTGTTACAAGCATTTTCACCACCTTCTAGTCCAACTCCAAGTGGTCGCAACACTCCAGAATCAACTACTTCATCTGAAGAAAATTTAAGGTAAAGGATTTTATTATAAAATTCAAATTAATCGCTTGAAACATGTATTAAGAATTATTCATGTCAGGTCTCCGCCTAGAAAGTCGAGCAGAACTGAACGTTTTTCAGATGAAGATGATGATGAAGATGACATATTAAATAGTTATGATTATATAAATGGTGAGAGAAGCTCAAAAACTAATTCCTAGTAGTAAAGAATAGTTATTAACCATATTAAAATAATTAACTATTAGTTTAATACATAATATAATGCATAAACTTGCTAGAATAAAATTATTGAAATAAAATGCAAAAATTACTATTATTAAATATTCCTACATGATTGTTATATACAAATTATGTATAATTTTTGTTCATGTTTAGACATCTTGTAAAATATATATATATATATTATCAAAATTCAAAAAAATATTACTTATAAATAATTTATGATATAATAGTATTGTTTTTTATTTTCAAAAACAATCAATATGTATTTGTTTAGTATATTTTTACTATAGTTTTATGTTTCATACAACTTCAACTTTGCCGTTATCTTTATATTATTATTTTTTATTATGTTCACTTTGATCTGAAATTTGTATAGTTTTTAAGTTGAAAAAAAAATTCTATAAAAATGTATGATTAACTAAAAAAATTATGAAAAATAATTGTTGTAAACAATAGTTTATATTTGTCTATTTCTTTCAGGAATTAGATAATATTTTACTCCTAAAATTGAACTATGAATCAAATAATTTACCAAACAATTGTTAATTATAAATATCAACTGTCACAATATTTTTACATATTTATTTAAATACAAGAAAAAGGTATAAAAATACAGCCCTCCTCCATCTCTTGACTTAATCCTTTTATGATAACAAAGTGTTTTGCAGAGTTTTAAAAATCATGTTTCATAATTAAAATACTTTCAAAGAGAGATCAACTTTTATGTTGAAAAAATATAAAGCAACTAACTGTCCAACAAAATGCCTATAGTGATAATATACGTACAAAAACTAAATTATTAATATTTATTATTTTCTTCCTAAGAAAATGTGATTATATTGAACAGTTTCAATAGAGATGACTGCACCATTTGTAACTTAAATTATAATCTGTGATTAAGAAAGTAAAAATTTTCAATTATGTAATGATTTTTGAGAGTTATTATAATTTCAATATATAAAAATATAAGTAACATATGTTTTTTAAAACAAAATTCAATGGAATCCATATTATAATTTAGATTTTGTAGAAGAAGGTCCAACTGGAATAAATGGACTTGGCAATGGATACAACCGATGTTTCTTCTTAAAATCTGTGATGTCTGTAATTATTATGGTCTGAAAAATGAAAATTATGTTAGCTTTTTACTATTTTCTAATACATCAGTTAACACCATTTCAATAATAATAAAAGTAATACACACATTATTATTTGCTAATGAATTATCTTCTAGTGTATCTTCCTGAGTAGTATTCTTTAATGTAGATTTGACATGTACAGCCAATTTGTGTCTTTTTGGCCCAGACTGACTGATTTGGTCCTGAACAAATTATTACTGGATAACAAAGTGGCCAAAATAAAAAAGTGATATATTTACTTGATAAAATTTAATAATATCATCTTTTTGAATAGATTTTAAGGCTTCTACTTCAATTTTTGCGCGATTAAAATTGTAATCTTGTGTATCAATTTCTAGTTGATAGACGGCTGCTTGTTTGAATAAACCTTTAGGCTTTTCTAACAATTTAACAGTTAAAGCATCTTTATAAGTACTGAATTCCTCTTCAGTCATATTTTTCAATAATTCCTAGAAGAAGTTAATGGTTTAAAAGACGTTATGAAAATATATGACGTTATGAGTATATGAAAATAGATTGATTAATGAACTTACTTGAATAGTGTTGATGTAGTTTTCTATTCTTGAATCAACATACATTGGAGTACGGTCAGATTGAACAATAATACGTAAGTTTAGAACTCCATGGCTTCTGCTTGACGAACTAAAAACTATATATCCAAGTTGTTCCTAGAATGGAAATGAGTAATTTTTTAATTCTATATGGTTTATATTTAATTTAATTATTAATACCTGGGTACGTAATATATTAAAACAAGACTCTTTGATAATTTCGTTAAAAAGGCTGACTATCATATTATTCAATATAGATTGAATACCACATTGTAGATGAATATAAACGCATGAACTGCTATGATGTTCACTAGTTGTTTCATATAAAGTGTTCTCACCTTAAATTTCATTTTAAAATGTTACAATAAATAAATTGTAGAGTATCATTTCTTTGGATATATTATTAAAAATATTAAAAAAATAATCATGCTAAAAATATATTTCAATTAACATACCAATAATAATAATAATAATAATAATAATAAATATAATTTAGGAAAGATTTAGAAATATCAATATTGGATTTAAATAGTAAGTTTAATATAATCAGCTATATATATATAAATTTAACATAGAATACATTTCTATAAAAAGAATTAATACTTAAAGTTGATAATAAATAATTTAAAGTTTTGTTTACTTTAAAATATTTATCTAAAATTTAACTCACTGTCCTCAAGTTGTACTTCCCTTGACCTCATCATTTGACGTGGCAATAATTTACGGAATCCATTACGACCCAGGAATGGTTTTTCTAAAATATTTATTAGTTCCAATGCTTGCTAAAACAAAATAAATAAATAATTTTGTAAATGAATAACTAATAACTTCATAAGAAAAATTTTTTTCTTTAGTTTGTGTAATATATATATATATATTATACATTAATTATCACTGTCACTTTGAATGTAAAAGCATATTGAGTTTTGAAATTTCATCAAATATTAGATATGTAGTATTTAACTAACTTATTGTACAAAACTACAGTTCTTACTTAATTTAAAATATTTTTATATATTTATTATATATTATATATTATATTTTTATATATTTATTCATTTTGAATTTTTATCATTTATTTTACTTCTAATTAAATAAAAATACAAAACAGATAGTATGCGGTATCAACTAGCTAGCGAATGCTCTGGACGCCAAAGGCGTTACCACGCATAAAATTATTCTATTAATAATTAAATTAGTATTTACTATAGACATCAGTTCAAAAACTGTCCTATATGTTGTGAATTTCAACCGAAGATAATTATTACAAACAATTTTTAATATTTTGATTGGTTTTAATTTTTGAATTTTAAGAATTAGATATATATCATTTAAAAATAAAAATAAATCATTTTATACTTCTTATAGTCTTGTTACATAAATATTCTTTCCTAAAAAAGATTTTTTATTAAATAGCTTAAAACTCAAGTAAATTATGTACTTACTGTTTTGTCAATGTTACCATAAACTAATGATTCCATGAACATATGTGAGAGGAATTTTTTAATAAATTCTTCAATGTTTTCAACTTTAACATCTAAAAATTTATATAATTATAAATTTAATAATTAAAAATCAAAAAGTTGTTAAATTATTTTACCATCAATAGCTGCTAATAATTCATTAGGGGTCCATTCATTTTCTGATAAAATTACAGAATTGTATCTCATCGCACTATGATATGGTTGCTCCATGGCAACATTTTTCAAATCTCTAATTTTCTAAAAATTAAGATACAAAATTTAATACATAAAACAAGTATTTTATTTGATTTATCTTACTTCCTCCTTGAGAATTTCAAAACGCAGAGGATCAATTTTGAAAGATAAAAGCTTATCCATAGTTTTCTTTAGCAAAATATGCAATTTGTGATTAAATCCACTTAAGTGAATCTAAAATAAATGATTTATAATTCAAATTATTATTATTATTGGTTTTAGATTAATATTACCTTAAAACCATAACTACTAGGCTTAATAATTAAATTTAGACTAGCTCTAGTAGCATCCCATGTGTACTCAGTAAAATCCTCATTGAATAATCTCACAAAGAGACTCATAATATTGCAGTGGAATGGATCGGTCATTACAATATAGCTATACAGAAAAATTTATTTTAAAATAGAAAAAAAAATAAATACGAAAAATGAGTTAAGATAAAAATACTGAAATGTGATTTTCTTCAATTTTAATTGAATTGGGATTTGAAAATAATTTTCTTTTTATTATTAAATATAAATAATAAATAAAATAAGATATTATGGAGTTATATATTGTATTTAAAATCAAATATAAATGTATTACTATTATTATGAATGTGCGAATTGATGTTTCTTGGGATGAATGCATAAAAATAGTTAAAGCAGTTTATGATGCCTAGTTTAAAAATAGTCTTAGTAATCTACTAAAAGTTAATATTGTAAATTATAAGGCTTTGTAGTTTGGCCTAATATGATTAATGTATGCTTAAAGTAATATATGGGAAATTGAATTAGATTTTGAATTATTATCACAGTATATTCCCTTATAAAAAAACTATAATTTATGAATAAATAAATATGTGAAGGTATATAAAGCTATTTGAAGAATCATTTTTTATGCGTACTATTATTTTCAAACATTTTCTTATAAATCTAATAGTTCAATTGAAAATCTCATTATTACACTAAATATTTTGAAAAGTATCTATTAACTAATTTATTAAAACGTATAAGTTACTCATATTTAATATTTATTTTCATTACCTGAAAAAGTCAACTGAAACAAATGCTTTGGGAAATCTGAACTCTGTATCTGTCTTAAACCATGTTCTTAATAATAAGGATTCATGAATAATATGTGGATGACTTGGTTCCTGAAAAAAAAAAAAAATTAATAAAATACAAATTTTTAATCATAATTAATTTTATTACATTTTTATCAATAGGTACAAGAGTAAAATCAGTAGCAATAAATTCATTTTTTGATGGCATTTTTAAATCTTCACATAAATCATCTTTTTTCCACTCCTAAATATAAAAATAAAGTAAATAAGCATATTTAAAATTAATTTAAAAACCAATTTACATCTAAAGTCTCCAGTGATATTTTACTAATTTTATATGGCGTTCCATAATATTTGTCTATAGTATCAGTTTGGTTTTCAAATGTTTTTGAAACCACTGTATATCTGTAATATTAATAAATAAAAAATTTAAATTAGTAAAGAGTGCAAATTATATTATATTATCTATTATCTGTGATTAAAATTCTAATCCAAGAGACCTTAGATTATCTGGTCTAAAATAAGATAAAAGTTCTTGAATTAAATCTGGTCTCCAATCTTTTATTAAATATTCCGCTGTTAAAACATCTTCCAATTTAAAAGTCTAAAAATAATAAAAAAAAAAAAAAAAAGTAAATAAGGTTTAACAACAAATATTTTTCATTGATTTTAAGAGTAGCTTACAATCATATGAGGAGACAACCGATAAACATAATCCAATGGTGATCCTTTATCTTTAAATTGGAATTGCATTGCACTAATATTTTTATTTTCATCATGGAACCATTCTTGAGGTCCTTCACGTTTCAACATATTAATATACTAGGTGAAAAAATATATATAAATGTAATTATTATTAATTAAGTATTTATATATCAAATAAATAATATGTTACTTGAAAAATTAATTTGATAATATCATCAACATGATCAACTCCTTTTTCAGTCAAATCTACATCAATATCAAAAAGCTCAATGCCCCTAGCTTCAACTTTACTACCAGATGAAAGTTTACTAGACCACCCTCTTTTTTTTAATGCAGCCAAAATACTTGTAGGACCTTCATGTCCCAATAATGCACTTAAATACCTGTTAGGCTAAAATTATATGTTATATTTAAAACCATATATAAAAATAACTTATATATTTACCATGCTTTTATAATATTTGCTCTGTTCAGGAATAGGAAAGGTAATAGAAAGTACTCTGATATCCTTTACTGGAAATACAACAGTTTTAGTTGCCAATTGTTCTTCTTTATAAATTGGGTCAAACCAATATGGCATATCTACATTTTTTTTTTCAATATCTCCAAACAAAGATACAATCAATTCTTCCAAAGTATTTAGGTCTTCTACATAAACAATCATAAAAATAAATTAAAATTATTTAACAATAAAATATTTTCTATAAATACCTTTTCCAAGTACTGATAAGTACATTAGATGTGAAGAATACAACTTAGAATGGAACTCTAATAATTTATCACGAACACTAATATTTTTTGAGTTTGGAATATCCCACAACGTCTCCTTTGTACCTAAAAAATTTATAAATATATTAAATGTTGATCAATTTATCATGACACCAAACTATGAAATCTTCGGTAAGAAATAATTTATTATTAAGTCTATAAAAATGTATGGAGTTCATTCAGTATTTAAAAACCATTTTTTTAAGGGGAGAAAATAGTTGAAAAAAAACATTGCACTAATCTTAGTGTTTTAATATTTTTTAATAATTTCAAAATATTATAATGATGATATTACTTAATATTTTCAAAATAGTTTCCATCTTATAAAAATAATTTTAACAGAAACATAAAAATTGTATTAAAATTAGAATATTTTTAGTCTTTATGACTGTATAAAAAAACACCTTAAATATTTTAGATATTTTAATGAATTCAGCTTTGTGGTACTTTTAGCATATAAATATATTTATATATTTACCATTAATCAATGAAATATCATACGGTTACCCAAAGAAAATAAAAATAAAAAATGTTTAAAAGCAAAACTATCCATAGACAATATTCTATAAACTTTGCTTAAACTTTTAATAGTAATTAACTGTATTAAATGAGTTTCATACATCATGAATATAATTGAAAGTTTTAAATAGGAATAAATCATATATATTATACAAAGAATACTTAGTTAAATTTTATCATACTGACTCATAAATTAGTTTAAATATAATACCAACTATTATATAGCTTTATAAATAATTATATTTTGAAATGCACCTATATATTTAGTTTTTGACTAAGTTATTAATTAAAATATTAATAACATGTTTAATAGAATTGCAGCCAGCAAAAACCTTGAGAATTTTCATCTCCTATTGTTTGAACATTTTTAATTTATTTATAAATAAAATATAATAATTTTTTTATTATTTAATATTTAATACTCATATATTATATCATGTATACATTTATTTCCTATTATGGATAAATCCTAGCCGTAACTAAAAATGTATTTTATTTGAGAATATTATAAAAACTAGTTTTATTTATAAAATACCTGTTCCAAACTGATTGTAAGGATGATTTGGATCGGCTGCATTTTTTTCTAATTGTGCTAGACGCCAAAAGTCATCAGCAACATTTTTTTGATGCTCAGAATTAACAGCACAAATTTCTCTTTCAGTAGCATTGGTAGTAAATAATGGTTCAAGGAAAAATTGAGCAAATCTATAATAGAAATTGAATATGAATATTTATAATAATATGAGAAAAAATGTTATTTTACCTGTCCAATGTTGGCTGAAGTGATTCTGTTTTGGTAGAAAAATAATAATTTGTATGATCATTTGCAGTATATGCATTGTAAGATCCACCATTTTGTGTTAAAAACTGAGTAAATTCATTTTCTATTGGATATTTTTTTGTGCCCAAAAACAGCATGTGTTCACAAAAATGGGCCAAGCCAGGGAGATCTTTTGGTTCACTTAAGCTACCTATTGTAAGAGAAAATAATACTCTTAAAATAAGTTTTAAAACAAAAAAAAAAATAGAAAGTCAAAGCATAATCAGTAAATTTTTAAATGATCATGCATTCTTAAATATTATAAAAATGATTATTTTATATATTTTATTTTTGTGAATAAATATAAAAAAATATTTAAATAAGTGAACTGTAAAAAAGTAAAAATTAAAGGATGGAATTAAATACTAAAAGCTTAGAAAAACATCATAAATAAAATAGCATTAATAATATATTAAATATAACATAAAATTAACATAACTCACCCACTGCAACCGATAGTGATGCAGCTGATTTATCAGTGTCAGGATCGCTGATCAACAATGCGGTAAGTCCATTCTTCAAAATCAAACCACGGTAGATCCGGGAATCTCCGAGGGATTTTTCGATATCATCGATACGCTGTTCAACTTTTTCAGACATGGCAGGATTCTTGTAATAACTAAAATAACGCGAATAGTTGTATTGCATTCCATAATGTTGGGTATGCGGCACCACACTTTTGCTGTGTATAATAATAACAGCCACCAGGAGCACGAACAGAAACGAAAACACTAACGACCACAGACAGTGCATGGTTAACAATGTACACGAACATAGTCGGCCCAGTAGAAGGACGAGAGAGGTACATTGTCCCGCTTATAATAATAATGACTAAGGAAATCAAGATTCAAATATAGATAAATTATTATCGAATTCGTTGTGTGTGCCAATAACGATAGAGTATTTCAGTCATTATTATGGACCTGTTCGTATACATGTATTATTATTATACGCAAATACGTCCATACAACCTTTGTTACAAGTGTGTCCCACATTGTGTAGCAATGCAAATAAATTGAAAATTGTATTAAAAGAAACAATACTAACACTACGGAACTAATTACTTACCTTAAATATTAATTCGAATAGACACCTAAAGTATACGGAATTAAGTTGCCGAAGTTTATTATCAAATCAAATAACATATTGCCAGTGCATTGTTACAAAAAGTGAATCAATAAATTATGAATCTGTTATCACTAGAGATTTTCCAAAACTTTTGACGCGGGAATTTGTACGGTTCAAAGAACTATTTAATTAATCGATTATTACCATATAAAATCTGTATAGTCTCTTTAGTATTTATAATAGTTAAGATATCAACAAATAACCTCACCGAGGCGTACAAATTTGTGATTAAAATCTTTTGAATAAAAATGAAAACTATATTTTAAATAATTATATTAATAGAAAAAATGACCTTCAGTCTTCAGAGTTTCACTCATGGACTATATGACAAAATATGAAAAATATTTGGTATATCCTTATACTGTTTTCATTCAAAAGTAAAACAAAAACATTTTCGTAGTTGAAAATTCTTAATGTTTCAAAGTATATATACTATGCTCTTTTAAATTATCTATAATTCAAATATTATAAGAACATATTTTTATATGATAATATTTAATTTCGATTAAATAATTTAATAACGAACAAATACGTTCATGTTTTTAGTTCTTATTATTTTTGGTTTTGATAAAACAAAATAATATCATTTTTTTTTTTTTTTTTGATAGATTATTATTTTTATTATGTTTTTTTTTTCGAGTTATCTCTATTGTAGTTTAATCTAACCACTTATTATTGGCAATAATACATATTTATTAGAAATCATTAAATTAATGACATCAGAAAAAATATCAAATCATTCATATTATTCTACAGAAATTTTAAATTAACTTAAAACAATTAACTTTAATATCAAACTATTTATATGTATATGTTGTAATACTAAACAGAAATATTCATAATTATATATTCTATAATTTAATACTAAAATTCTGAAAACGTGTTAGTGTTCAATACTTGTCATATATCAGTATATATTATTAGTAAATAATTTAAAATCAAAAGTTTCGAATAAAATAATAATGACATGAAATTACATTTCATATAGGTAGGTATTTTTTTTTTAGCATTTGTCATGGTATTGGCGTACAAAGATAAATAAAACAAAATTAATAAAAAAAAAAAATATATATAAATATAAAGTAATACTTTATATTTAAATAAATATTTCTTTACTCATACCAAAGGAAATATTAGAATAATGTAACTATAATTATTACATACATATATAATAAAATATTATATATTACAATATATTACATGACTTTAATAAAATATTCAGTATGAATATTATTCTGGCCTTCATTCAAAATCGTTTTTTGAATGCGTTGATTTGTTATCGATTTCAAATGTATACAGGTATATGTAATACCTTTATTTAATGTATAATACATTATTATAAGTAAATACTGGATATAATTGCATTAAAAATATCTTAAAATTGCACTAAAAATATGCCAAAATTGCAATGAAATACATTAAAATTACATAGTAAAATCATATCAAATATATTGATTTCCTGTCATAATCTCAGAGTAAGTTATAATAGTTTTATATCCTTCATTTTTTCTAAAACATATTTTAATTTATCTTTAACTATTTTTCCATTGGGACCGGGAATATTTATAGAAATATTTTTATTTAGTTAGTATTTATTTATTTATTTAGTATTTATACTAAATATGTTTAAACTATTAAGTAATTGATTATTTGATTCTTCTAAACTCGTGAGTTTTGTGGATAACTCAGATAAATATAATTTTAAAAATCTTAAAATACATTTAACTACATGTAAAAATTTATGTTGTAGTTATATTTTTTTTGTAAAATCACTTTAGAAATAGAAATTTGTATATTTTATCACGTGAAGTATACAAAAATTGCAAAATTTTTGAAAATTGCAAAAAATTGCACTATTAAATTAAATAGGAAGACTGTAATTAATCTGATTCGTATACATATTTGATCAGATTTGATTTATTGGGTATCAATTAAATCCGCTCTTTAATTATAAGTATGACTAAGCCCAATAGTACAAAAGTGAAAAAAATTAAATTTTTTAAACTATTTAATTGGCTCCTAAAATTTTTATAGTTGTTTGGACTCCTAATTACAGGGATTTAAATTTTTAATTAGGGATTTTAAAAATTATTATTTAAACAATATGGTGAAGATAAAAGTTTACTTTCATAAGTTAACATTTTGTTACTAGTGAAAATAAACATCATATTTTGATATTATTACAATTTTTTATCTCCACTAATTACATCTAACACGTTCTATGATACGTATTACAATTTAACGATACGTAATTCTTAATGTTAAATGCACTGTTACTGTGAACTATTATTTGATACACAAATACTATTATATCTGGTTTTGTATTATATTTTAATGAATTTTGAGTTTTATTTTAAGTGTACTGATTGGAAACAAGTACCTATAAAAATTATTTTTTTAAGAATATTCTTATCTTTCAATTATGACTGTATAATATGTTCGTATAATATGTATATTATTTAGCATTCCCAAATAATGTACCAGTATTTAGGTAATCAATGAATATTTTAAATAATTTTTATTAGAGCCAATTTAATAGCGAATTTATAGGATTCAATTAACAGGTAAAACTACTGATTACCTGAATTTGTTAGCTAATTCAATTCACCGATGGAAACTAAAATATTAGCTCATTATAAAAACATTATAATGTAAAATAAATTATTAAATAAATTTGTAATTTTTATTTGAAATCCTATAAATGAATTAAAGATCAGCTATCAAAATTAAGACATTAAAAAATGTAGAATACTTAAGTAACCGTTTAATTAACTATTTTTTTTATAATGAATTATAATTTTGTTATTATTATATGACAATTTAAAATATATTTCATGGGTGGTACGTATTAATATGTATCTGTAGTCTGTTTTAATCCTTAATAATAGGTTAATACAAGCTTTATATTAAATTCCATAGGTAGGTATAACCGTACTAGTCAATATAAGATACATTAGAATGTATGATTCGACCATAGATAAAACTGGGTCAAGTAATTTATTGGTGTAAAAATCTGTCCATTGGCACAACGTGAAATCTTGTACTGAACGTAACTGTAATTGATTAGTATAATTTATGCAGATATATATAAATATATACAGTTATATTTACATATGTTCATATCGTACTCATTACTTGACGAATTCTATGAAAGTTTTGAGAAGTGAATCAATGGAACAATCTGGAGTGTTGGTTAAAAAATGTCAGACACACTCTAAAGTTAATTTTAAAAGACAAACATCTTTACTCATGACTAAATAGTAGTTATACTAATGATTTTAATAGTGAAATAGAAATCAAAATTGCCAATAGCAATATCTAGTTAAGCGTGATAATGGTTTTAGATACACTACCCAGTTGATTGAATACATACTTATCCTGTAATATATTAAATATATAGTAAAATAAATCAATTTACTTATTTAATAAATATGTAATATTGATTTATTTTTGATTATTAATGAGACATTTCATAGAAGTATGTTCGTTATTCAGTAATTATTGTTCAAAGTTTACTAATAATAGTTGTAAATTTGTTATAAACGCTTGAGAACAATCACAAGGTAACTATATTGGAATACCAATAAGATGTGTCGAAGCAACTAACGATATAATTCGTCTATGGACTTGAATTATGATAATTTACAGTGGCGCCGAATTCAATTTTTAGATGTATATCTAAAATGTATGTATGTAAAGTATATCTGCAAATCAAGACCCACCTACTCACAGTAGGTTGAGCAACAGCCCTCAATTTATTTCTATAATTTTAATAACTTCCAGCAATAATAAGTAAATTTAATGATTAGCGTTTAGGTTTATCATAATATTGGGAATGATGATGAATAAAATAATTTATTACATTCATAATAATAATGTTAGCCAGTATGTTTCGCATACTTACTACACCCACCCCTAACAGGTATTGCAATTGCAATACCTGGATACAGGGATCGGCGCCAATAATAATTTATCTATACTTTATAGAACCTGCGTTCAGAATAATTTATAAATAATAAAAGTTCAATAATTTCAAATAAATATAATTACAGTAGACTCTCGGTAATCCGGCCATATGAATATCCAGTACGTCCAATCATAGCGTGTGCAGACATTATTAGTAGGATAGTCATACATAACACATTAACGTTTAATATTAACAATAAATTTGGATGGGGTAACTTCATTTAACTTAATAACTATTTTTTTCCAATATTTTTATACATGTATTTACCATTAACGGACGTTTTGAAGTGGTTGAACATAATATGGATTCTTGTTATTGTGATAATATTGAATATGTTGGTGAGAGAAGGAAGGTTCACAAAGTAGCCAAGTGCCTACTCTGACAACCCCGTGCGCACTCTTATACATCTAATAATCCGGCAGTATTTTATTTTAAAATGTTGTCTTAAATGCATAATTTGAAATGAAAACCCTAAACAAATTTATATACATTTTATATTTTTTAAACCGTACAGTTAAAAGATTAATTCATAGTACGTCATAAGTTAATATATATATATATATATATATATATATGCAGTATTGATATGTTTTAAAAAAAATTAATCAAGGTTTTTCAATGAGTAAAGATGCTTTTTCATGTGATATTATTATTTCTTAGTATGACATTTTGTTTGTATATTTTTATGTCGGGAAAATATTTTTAGTATTTTTAAACTTAATTTCTTATTTTTCCACGGAAGTTCCAAATATAGTAGGTATTTGATTTTAGTATACACATGTCACTCATATGCTGAATAGTTATTACTTCATTTTTGGAACCCGTAAAGTCGTAACTACTTATAGAATAATGAAAATCATCAAATTAATATTACATGGAA